AGGGTTAGGGTTAGCAGAATGGAGACAGACAGAAAGGAAGCAGGACTCTTACAGGAAGCAGAGTGTTGGGGAATGAGTCATGCAGAGGTTTTATAGCAGGACATTGCAGCAAATCAACAACTAGAACATCATAACATTATCTTTGAAACAACAACTCGTACGAGCACAAACGTAGTGTGCTCTATTACGACCCACAGGACACTTCCTCAATTAGCGCCACTAGCGTTGGAAGGACAATAACATGTCCTTAACCCAAACATCTTTTTTAACATTTTAAAAACATGGTTAACATTGGGGAAGTTTGATTTGGTTGTAAACATGAGACTTAGGTTCAGAAAAAGATCAAGTCAAAGTCAACTTTATTGTCAATCTTTCAGTTTGTGTTTACAGACAGAGAGATCGAAATACCGTTTCCCACAATCCCGAGGAATACAAATATATGTGCTGTGTTCAATTGGGATGCATCTCGTAGTTCACTTCCATGTGGAACGAGAGGCGATAGACGCTGTGTGTAGCATTTCATAATATAATCAGGGCCTTTCTCCCTCCTAACTTTAGCCTGGTTTTCCCTACAGAGCCAAGCAGGACTAACTCAATGACACTATGGGCATCTTTAATATGATACATAAACGCATAATGATATATATTGGTGTTATAAATGCTAATTCGTGGACTCTGATGGCCCTACTTGGCCCTGTTGAGAGATCTTTAAGTCATATTCCAAGAGGTGCATAAATACAAATCTTGTGATCCATTTTCTAGGTCTAATCTTTAATATATATATTCATAATAATACATTGTATTTTTAGGGTATCCACAGACACTTTACAGGCTAAGATTCATAAAAACAACAACACAAGTAGGTATCTACACTTACTTGCTTTTTTCTGTTTGGCCACAAACTTTTTTGAAAGGGTTTTTGTTTCTCTAGTCATAGGAAAGACTTGACAGAGGTACATAACTTAACTAATACAATATATTATAAGCCTTGTGTTTAAAGAGCAGGGCCTTTCCCCCTCCTAACGTTAGCCTGGTTTTCACTACAGGGCCAAGCAGGACTAATTCAAGGCACTACGGGCATCTTTATTATGATATATTTATTTGTTTTGGTGTTATAAATGCTAAATATTGGCCCCTGATGGCCCTACTTGGCCCTGTTGAGAGAAAAGTGGCTGTTGCCAAGAAGACTCAGAGCCAATCACAGCATCCCCCCTGTCTTCTCTCCGTAGAGCTCAGAGGCCGTTGTCCAATGGCTGAGCGACTTTCAGCTGCAGGTCTACGCTCCAAACTTCCTATCCGTGGGCTATGACTTGCCCACCATTAGCCGAATGACCCCGGAGGTAAGGCATCTGACCCCTGACCCCCAGAGAGGCACCTGCAAGGACCACAATGGAAACCAGTCTGCACGACTTTGAATTGTGCCGTCCTTGATGTTTCCCAGATGCATGTGTACCATTTCCCTTAGAAAGTTCTTGAAGAGCACTATCCTTTTCCCACCTACTGTCAAACCTTACACCCTTCACCTGGTCTCTCTTAGATACCTGAGAAACTCTTCTGGTAACAACAACTGGACGCTAACTTTAATAAATATGAAATGGAAATTAAGCTTTTTAACTCTATTGTCGAAAAATAAGATTTCCGAATCTAACTCTCAGCAAAAATGCTTAAAATTATAACTTGTTTAGGGGTTTGCATTTACCCCAGTCTGTTGTTTCAATACGGAAATCCTTTAACTGTATATCAATAATAGTTGCAAGTAAACAGTACAGTAAACATCCATATAAAGATTCAAACACCGTGCAGTTGAGTCTCTTGGCTCTCATCAAAGACATTTGACGTTTGCTCTGCCATCTGCCTAGCAAGAGTAACGTAACTACTAAACGTCATCCCACAGAACTTTAGCTGCCTTTAGCTTAGCAGTGGTGACGTGTAAAAAGTCAATGGTTTTCTGAATGGGTTTTTGGTTGTTAGCCTGAAATAAGTTCTGTGGTTAACACAAGCTGGAGAGATTTTCACGTTTTGTTCTACGATATAAAATACGTCAGTAAATACCCCAATTTAAAAACAGAGGTTGCTAACAAGAGTCTAAATGAGACGACTAAATGTCATCACGCCCAACATTAGCCGCCTTTAGCTTAGCGGTGGTGACGTGAAGTAATGTGACCGTGCTGTAGTTCCTTTATAGCCCAACATTAGCCACCTTTAGCTTAGCGGTGGTGACTTGAAGTCATGTGACCGTGCTGTAGTTCCTTTATAGCCCAACATTAGCCGCCTTTAGCTTAGCGGTGGTGACTTGAAGTCATGTGACCGTGCTGTAGTTCCTTTATAGCCCAACATTAGCCACCTTTAGCTTAGCGGTGGTGACTTGAAGTCATGTGACCGTGCTGTAGTTCCTTTATAGCCCAACATTAGCCGCCTTTAGCTTAGCGGTGGTGACGTGAAGTAATGTGACCGTGCTGTAGTTCCTTTATAGCCCAACATTAGCCTCCTTTAGCTTAGTGGTGGTGACGTGAAGTCATGTGACCGTGCTGTAGTTCCTTTATAGCCCAACATTAGCCACCTTTAGCTTAGCGGTGGTGACTTGAAGTCATGTGACCGTGCTGTAGTTCCTTTATAGCCCAACATTAGCCGCCTTTAGCTTAGCGGTGGTGACTTGAAGTCATGTGACCGTGCTGTAGTTCCTTTATAGCCCAACATTAGCCACCTTTAGCTTAGCGGTGGTGACTTGAAGTCATGTGACCGTGCTGTAGTTCCTTTATAGCCCAACATTAGCCGCCTTTAGCTTAGCGGTGGTGACGTGAAGTCATGTGACCGTGCTGTAGTTCCTTTATAGCCCAACATTAGCCACATTTAGCTTAGCGGTGGTGACGTGAAGTCATGTGACCGTCTTGTAGTTCCTTTATAGCCCAACATTAGCCACTTTTAGCTTAGCGGTGGTGACGTGAAGTCATGTGACCGTGCTGTAGTTCCTTTAGAGCCCAACATTAGCTCTTTACTTCAGAAATCATAAAGTGGTGTTAACATGTGGAGATTATCCTGCTGAACTAGACGTGTCAGTATCATAAACGTTTGTTTGACACATAGATTATTTTCTGCAGTAATCCAAAATCACATGGAGGAATCCCATTGACTTGTTTCGAGGTCTGCCCTTGTGATGCTACTTTCAGGATCCACTACAGAATTACATCATCCCTGCACTACTCTATTAAAAATAGCTCAACATACCCACACATCCTCCTGACCCCCCGATCACCTCCCACACTGCCTGTTCTGAAATAACTATACGAATGCTCTCTGCCACGCTCACCTACATGCAAATCATTTATAGTATATATAAATTATTTGTACATGTACTTACACTTCGGGGCTGTGCATGCTGAATGGTTCAGAGCCGAGCTGACTATAAAAGGCTATTGTTAATAAAATATATGTCGTAGTAATCTTGCCTATTCTACTGTGTGTTTGGGTCGCATCTGCATATCATTTATTCAACTGTGTGTGTGTGTGTGTGTGTGTGTGTGTGTGTGTGTGTGTGTGTGTGTGTGTGTGTGTGTGTGTGTGTGTGTGTGTGTGTGTGTGTGTGTGTGTGTGTGTGTGTGTGTGTGTGTGTGTGGGAGTGTTATGATTGTCCATGTATGTTTGTAAAAGTGTGTTCTCGTGTCTACACCTTAAGAAATACACAGAAACAAAACTAGAAAGATAATCACCTGATGATGTATTTTCTTTATAAATAACAGTTTTAACTAAATCTGTACATTTTCATTTTCAATACACTTACTTTGTGTATTGAAAATACAATAACGAATTTAAAGGATATTATGGAGCGGATTCTTTCCAGATGCTTCCTTTTCACTGCAGACATTCGCTTTTGCTTTTCTTATGATTTTGAGAAATTTCTGCTCTATTTTCAACCGAGGCTTTGATCAGATGTCACGCTGTACTGTTTCTTTGTGTTGCAAGTTTTCTTCTATGTGTGTGTGTAACAGAGACTGTGTGTGTGTGTGTGTGTGTGTGTGTGTGTGTGTGTGTGTGTGTTTGTGCGTGCGTGTGTGTATGTGTGTGTTTGTGCGTGTGTGTGTGTTTGTGTCTGCTGGAGTCTTGGGGAGATTGTGTGGAGGAAAAAGCCTGAACATGCCACGACTGTACCTTACTTGTGTGTGTGTGTGTGTGTGTGTGTGTGTGTGTGTGTGTGTGTGTGTGTGTGTGTGTGTGTGTGTGTGTGTGTGTGTGTGTGTGTGTCTGTGCGTGTGTGTGTAGGATCTGACGGCGATTGGAATAACTAAACCCGGCCACAGAAAGAAGATGACGTCAGAGATTAACAAAATGGGTGTCAATGATTGGCTGCCTGACCACAAACCTGTGAGTGCAACCCAACACTGACAACACAACACCATGTTTTTTTGTTTTATTTTGAAAAAACACCTTGTGCCACTTCCTGTCTTTGTGTTTTCCTGCTTCCACGCTGTTTTTGCCTTTTTTAGATGAACACACAAACGCAGAACGAACAGAAAGCATGTGCACATATCTAAAAACAAGCTTTATTAAGAGTAAAGCTGGTAGAAACACAACACAGCGTTAGCGCCAACTAACCTTCATGTAATAATAATAATAATAATGCATTACATTTTTTATTAGAGCGCTTTTACAGGTGCTCAAAGCGCTTTACAAGTACACATTACACATATTAGACATGTAAGAATCATTACTGCGGACATTACCCACAGGAGCAAATGCGGGTAAAGTGTCTTGCCCAAGGACACAACGGCCTGACAGTGGCGGCCGAGGCGGGATTCGAACTGGAGTTCACCAATGATCTGATGACCAACGCTCTAACCACTGCGCCAAAACATGTGCTGACGTTCCCCACGGGGATTAATAAAGATCCATCTTATCTCATGCTTCTGGTGTTTTCCTCCAGGCCAATCTGGGCGAGTGGCTGTCTGCGATCGGGCTGAGTCAGTACCACCAGGTGTTGGTTCAGAACGGCTACGAGAACATCGAGTTCATCACCGACATCACCTGGGAGGACCTGCAGGAAATAGGCATCATCAAACTGGGTAAGTTATTGTTTTGACATCAGTACGTATGAAGAAGATTTGAAAGTATGACATGTGAAATGTGCAAGCGTACCGAGCCCAAGGTTAGATCTGTGAAACACATTCATATGTGGTTCATTTAAGTTCAAATGAAAGTAAGGTTAATAATTCACCCTCTGCCTCTGTATACTTGCTTTGGGCCTTCATAGTAATAGCTCATGTGTACTCTTTGATTGATAATGATGTAGTTTATACTGTATGTAAACTTATAGAGGTGATCTTAATTAAAGTACTGTTGTTATTGTTTTCAGGCCACCAGAAGAAGCTGATGCTGGCGGTGAAGCGTCTCGCTGAAATGCAGCGCGGATCAGATGGTCGGGGGAAGAAGCCTCCACCAATCACACAGCAGCAGGAAGCGACGTTGATAGACAGCCCGCCTCCAGACGGTGAGCTAACAGATCAGAAAGAACTCAATGGTGCTCTGAGGAGATTCAGATGGTAAGGAGGGGAGGGGGGGGGTTACCTTGGTTACTGATTGGCTAATGGTTACACAAGCCAAAATAAACATTATGACATCATAATGTGGTCAAAATCTGATCAGCTCATTTTCAGACAGGTTTTTATAGAAATGGATCAAAAAGAGAGAGAATCTTTATTCCTGAAACTTTCAGAGTCTCTTTCCACAGAGGGGACACATGTTGATGTAGAAGAGACATGAAGAAGAGGGGACACATGTTGATGTAGAAGAGACATGAAGAAGAGGGGACACATGTTGATGTAGAAGAGACATGAAGAAGAGGGGACACGTGTTGATGTAGAAGAGACATGAAGAAGAGGGGACACGTGTTGATGTAGAAGAGACATGAAGAAGAGGGGACACGTGTTGATGTAGAAGAGACATGAAGAAGAGGGGACACATGTTGATGTAGAAGAGACATGAAGAAGAGGGGACACGTGTTGATGTAGAAGAGACATGTAGAAGAGGGGACACATGTTGATGTAGAAGAGACATGAAGAAGAGGGGACACGTGTTGATGTAGAAGAGACATGAAGAAGAGGGGACACGTGTTGATGTAGAAGAGACATGAAGAAGAGGGGACACGTGTTGATGTAGAAGAGACATGAAGAAGAGGGTTTTGCATGATAGGTGACCTTTAAAAAGGTTCAACTTGAATGTACTGTAGTAACTTCATGATTATCTAATAAAGTAAATTCATACCCTGTCTTTTAAATATTCATATTAATCTAATTAATTACTTTGTTTTACTTTGATCTCAGAGCTCATGTCTCCAAAGATGAGCTCCTTCCAGGACAGCGAGTTGAGCCCCGAGCTGCAGAGCGCCATCATGACTCAGCCAGGACAGGAAGTGAAAGCTCAGCGAACACGAAGCAAAGACCACGAGGAGATTCTGATTGGAGGAGGAGGAGAACGAGGAGAACGAGAAAGAGGAGGAGGAAGAGGAGAAGGAGGAGAAGAAAGAGGTGTTGGAGGAGGAGGAAGAGGAGGAGGAGAACGAGGAGAACGAGGAGGAGGAGGAGGAGGAGGAGGAGGAGGAGAGGAGGAGGAGGAGGAGGAGAAAGAGGAGTATTGCAGACCTTCCACCAAAAAAAGGAGGCTCGGACTATGCGCCAGCAGAGCAGCCAGGGGAGTCGAGGCAGCGTTTCCTCTCAGGGGAAACACCGTCACTCCCACTCCCACTCCATGCCTGCGCCTCCCTACACGCCTCCTCACACCCCCACCAAGCCGAGGACCTCCTCTTCCTCCTCCTCCTCCTCCTCCGTCCAGAGCACAGCTTCCCCGCAGACCAAACACAAGCCCACGCCCCCGTTCATCCAGGGCGAGAGACCCCAGTCTCCTCGATCGAACCCCCCGCAGTCTCCAACCCAACGAGGGCCTCCGATAACCCAGATCCCCCCCCAGACACAACAGCAGCCTCCAGACGTGATGCAGAGCCAGGCTCAGCCTCAGCACCCCCCACAGACACAGGGGATGGAGGTAAGGGACTTCAAACTCAATTAAAGCTGCGAGCAGTGATGAGCGGTCTTCAGACTCGGCCGTCGGCAAACGTGGGAAGTTTCGGGCCGATCGAACAATCTCTGTAGGACTTACAGCAGTAACATAAACATCTTGTTTGTTGGCGAGTGATCTGTCTCCATGGCAACGGTATATGATGTCACCCCATAATACAGTTAAATGTCTTGAGGGCTGCATCATTACTCAAAACAAAAAAAACTCATCTCTTTCGACTCCACTTCGAGCGATAGAACTATTAACAAATCACTTATATACTAATAAAGGACTGGCTTATCTAAAGCCAGTTGAGTAGCACTTCAAATGTTTTGGCTCTATGAAACCTGATGTACTTATATGATTCTGTTTTCTTCAAGGTTGTGTCTTCCTGGTCGAATGTACTTATTGTAAGTCGCTTTGGATAAAAGCGTCAGCTAAATGCAATGTAATGTAATGTAATTATCAAACATGTGAAGTTTTGGGCCGTTTGGAGCATTTCCACTGAAGTTATGAGAAACCCGTATTTCATGGCGAGCATTGTGTTTCCATGGCAACGGCATTTGACGAAAACCTCATAACTGACATAGAGATGTCTTCAGGGCTGGACCGTTAGCACACGTCAAGTTTGACCACTTTTTGACCATTTACATTATTTACGTTATAGCAAAATCGTATTTTACGGCGAGGAATGCGTTGGCAACAGCGTTTTAGCGAATCTCACAATTGTCATATAGACATGTTGCGGGCCGGACCATTAGCCATAATCTGAAGTCTGGTGCCATTTGGACGATTTTCCTAAGAGTTACGACAACACCGTGTTTTATGGCGAGGGATGCCATGGAAACGGCATATGATGAGATCCCAGATTTGGTGTAGTGCTGTTGAGGCATCGGTCGATGATATACAAGTGTACTATACAAGTTGATGTACACCTCCAAGAGGCTTTTTGGTTCGTCTCTGCACCCTAGATATAGGTAGCGATTTTCGTTGGTGTTGGGGGGGGGGTGGTTAAGTTCAAAACGGAAGTGGGCGTGGCTTGCACAGTTTTTTTATGCAAAGTTCCGGAACTCATTTCACACGTCTATTTTCACCGGTCCTGACGCGCGTGTAACATTTTGTGAGCTTTCATATATGTTGCGGAGTTCAAAAGTGCGAACAAAGAGGACAAATTAAAATCAGAATAATAAGAATAATCCTATCGATTACAATAATGTAGCGACCACAGTGACGTGGGCTACCTTCTGTCATGATTTTGGCCCCTTTCTCTGAGCTTTTGCTCGTCGTTTTCCCTGTTTTGTGTGTGTTTGGCAGGGTTGTAAATAATTCACCTTATGCCTCTTTATACTTGCTTTGGGCCTTCATAGTAATAGCTCATGTGTACTCTTTGATTGATAATAATGTAGATTATACAATGTATTCTGCTAATTACGCCAGTTGATATGTAAAGTTGTAGAGGTGCTTTTTAAATAAACGTACCTTAACTTTAACCTCAACAGCCACAGGTCCCGATGCTGTGTCTTCCTCCAGAGGTTTCTGAGGGGAAGGAGCCATCACGCCCCCACACCCTCCCCCGATACAACTTCTCCGAGGGGGAGTGTGACGACAAGGACGGAGGGGAGGAAGCCGAGATGGTGCTGAGTCCACTTCCTGCCCCGGTGGTCAGAGGAGACGGAGTTAAATACGCAACGCACCGAGTCAGCCGCAGCCACTCGGTCCGCAACCAGGAGAAAATACGCAACCACTCGCAGACGTTAGCTCTGCGTCAGAAGAAGAAAGGACCGCCTCCACCTCCGCCCAAACGCTGCAGCTCCGCCATCTCCACCTCCACCTCCAACCTGACGGAGAGCACGCTCGTCACCGCAGGGGGTGGGATGCTGGACGTGCCGTTCCTCCAGCAGCGGAGGGCCAGCGACCTGGGGGTCTCCGTGGAGACGGTCGTCTTGGAGAAGAGCAGCGTGGGCAGCGTGAGGAGCATCGCCGCCATGTTGGAGATGTCGTCCATAGGAGGCGGACCAAAAGGCATGGCGCTGCAGAGGAACTTCCTGCAGGTAGGGGGAGCGCTTTCATTGGTTGCAAAAAACACCTTGAATTACGATTTGCCTTAAAGTACCAGTAAGAGTTTCCTTGAAATGAAATCAGTTGAACAAATACTTCCTAAGAAGGAAATGAACCGAACCGTGAGAGCCCAATGGATATTCTTAACAATCCGGGCATTTTGCCGTACTTCTCAACGAGGATGCATTCATGCACTAACAATATCAAGTACACAAGTACAGGAATTAAGACGGAGGACAGGTCTTGTGGGTCTTTCTTAAGGAGAAAACTTAGGGTGTCAGGTGCAGCTTCAATGGTACTCTAAAATATTGTATATCCACATTAATTGATGTAGTTAATGAGCTAAAGCATTATATAACAAATTAATTTGTGTGTGTGTTTACCAGGTGGGTAAAACTCGCGATGCCATTGGTCTGGACGGGGAGGTGGTGAACCGGAGGAGGACCATCAGCGGTCCGGTGTCCGAGCTGGTGGAGGCGGCAAGAAGGGAACAACCCACTCCTCAACCTCAACCCTCCATCCAGCCCTCACCCTCCGTCCAGCATTCTGCCTTCTCCCCTCCACCAGTGAACGCCTCCTCCAACAACCTTCCGTCCTCCAACAACCCTCCGTCCTCAAACAACCCTCCGTCCTCCAACAACCCTCCGTCCTCCAACAACCCTCCGTCCTCCCCCCAGCCTCCGTCCAGTTCGTTGGAGAATCTACCGTTTGCAGACGAGGGAAGTCTGACCATCCGCCGCCAAGGACGAGGAGAAGGAGAAGGACAGGTAGCTATCTATATATATGTTGTCTTTCTTTCTATCTATCTAACTAACTAACTATCTATCTCTCTATCTATCTATCTATCTATCCATCTATCTATGCAGCGCAATGTAATGTGCTAAATCTAAATGTGCTTTCTGTAAAATGAACCATAGTGCAGCTTCTGTTCTCTGTAAGCGTTATCCGTGCTTATCTTTGTCAATACTTCTGACTGTTTGTGCAAAAATCCACTCTTGTCACGAATGTATGAATTTTCCGTTAGTGTGTATTTTGTGTTTGTCTGCAGGGCGACGGGGAAGAGGTGGGCTTCACCAACGAGGACATCTCCGGAGTCGAGTCCACCACCACATCGACCCTGAAGCGACGCCCCCGAAGCTCCAAACCTCACCCCAATGGCTCCGACTTCACGCTGCAGGAATCGTCCACCGTGAAGCGCCGACCCAAGAGCCGCGACAAGGAGCCGGAGGGTTACGCAGAGATGGCCGCCATCGGAGAACCCAACACCACCCAACCGGTTCCCTACCAGAACGGCACCGTGAACATGAAACGCCGCCAAGGATCGGACGAAGGAGTGACGGAGCAACCGCAACCCCAACCTCCACTGCATCCACAACAACATCCACAACAACATCCACAACAACCTCCACAACAACCTCCGCAACAACATCCACAACAACCTCCACTTTATCCACAACAACCTCCACAACAACATCCACTGCATCCACAACAACATCCACTTTATCCACAACAACATCCACTTTATCCACAACAACCTCCACAACAACATCCACTGCATCCACAACAACAATCGCAGCCGACTGCTGTTCCCCGCAGAGACAGCGTGGACCAGGTGGTGATTGAAGGCGTTCCCATTAGAAAACCAAAGCCTCCGGTCTCCCCGAAGCCATTCGTTTCGCAGATAAAGAGGCAAGGAGGACCGCCCACCCCCCCCCAGCCGGTCTCCAACAGGAGGGTCCCGTTACCTGGCCCGGGGACGCCTGGAAGCCCAGGTACTCTCACTGATGGAGGTTCACTACTGTTTATGCTAAGTTCAGCAACACACTTACTAGGTTTTTGTAGCTAAAAGCAACTACAGTCACCATTCAACTATTAAAATATTCAGCTTTTTCTGCATTTTCAGCTCAGTTCAGCAACAACTTTGCGAAGCTTCCAGCATTCGCACGCATTTTCAGCAAGAAATGCATTTCCTAGTTTGAATTTCACTGCGTGTCCCAAGGTGTTTAATAGTTAAAGGAAATGTACACTTTAAACCAAATGCAAAAAAAGAAAAGAAAACAAGCTTCATATTCAGGGATTTCACAATACAAGACATTCTAGTAGTCGTACCAATAATAGGGACATTTCACAATTCTTGTTGCCAATTAGATATCACTGTCAAAGACCAAAAACAAAACATTGCTGTGGGAACATATCCTTCAAACAACTGTGTTTGTTAAAGTTTATTTAAGTTTTTGTTTTATTTTACATTGAACGTATCATGATAACACTATAATTTACAATATAATATATTCTTATGAATGAAAATACACAAAAGAGTCTACTCCTCTATCTGTTTCAGCTCTGTTCCAAAAGTGCTGATTCTGTGTCTGTAGCTTTAAATGCTAATGAGCTGCTGCTGGCCACGCCCCTCTGAGAGATCATTGGTTTAAAAAGCACAATGTTGCTTGAAGGAGATTCAGGTGATAAAGTGGGCGGGGGATGGATCAGAAAAAAAAGAAAGGGGGTCTTTGTTCCTGAAACTTCCAGAGTCTCTAAACACAGAGGGGATTTTGCACAATCGGTGACCTTAAAGTTGTTCATTGCATATCTACACTGCAGCAGACAACAATAAAGCCCTTTGATCCTTTACCCTGACATTCATACTTTCTCCATTTCCGTAGTTGAAGGGAAGAAGATTCCGCCCCCAGTCTCACCCAAACCGACGCCCCCACCGACGGCCCCCAAACCGTCCAAACTGATCCACTCCATGACCAGCCCCCCCCCCCCATCATCATGCAGTGGTTTCTAGGCAGACCAGCTCCCCGCCATATTTCCCCCTCGCCAACATCCCCGGTCCAACGAACGCCAAACCGCTGAGCCCGTCCCCCCCGAGCCCTCGCACCCCCCAGACCCCCACCACACCTCAGACCCCCGCCACCCCCAGCCCCACCCCCCCGCCCGTCAAGCCGCCTCGCTCCTCGATCGGGGGGGTGTCCGTGGACAGCGGGATGATGGGGGGCGGAGTCACGGCTCCGGAGCTGCTGGTGCATCAGAAGCTGGAGGAGACGAGCGCCTCGCTGGCCGCCGCGCTGCAGATCGTGGAGGATAAGATCCTGAGGCAGGAGGAGTAAGGAGCACACACACACACAGAAATAAACACACACACACATACAGAAAGAAACACACACACATAGATACACAGATACAAACACACACATATCAAACATTTCCCAAATTTGTATCAATAAAGTACTTCTTATCTTATCTTATACACACACACACACACACACATACACAGAAAGAAACACACACACACATACATACACAGCATTTTGTATTTATTGAAATTACATTATTAATATAATAAAAAACTATATATATGTAAAAGATATAATACATATATGTCATTTATATAACGCTTTTTCTGGTGCTCAAAGCGCTTGGTTTTAAGAAGACATTATTATTTCCAATCCACTGTTATAATGTTGTGCTTCTGTGTGTGTGTGTGTGCGTGCGTGCGTGCGTGCGTGTGTGTGCGTGTGCGTGTGTGTGTGCAGCTCCATGGAAGAGCAGAAGACGACGGTCAGCATCCTGGACGATATCGGCAGCATGTTCGACGACCTCGCCGACCAACTGGACGCCATGCTGGAGTAACCATGGAAACAGACTCTGATGGCACAATCTCTCTCTCTTCCTCTCTTCATCCTCCTCTCTGATGATGATGATGATGATGATGATGGATGAAGAGAGAGACACTTTAAGAGAGAGGGTAGATAAAAAAGGACCAAAAACAAAGACTGACGTGGAGAGAGAAGAATATAAAAAAATAAAAAATAGAAGAGCCTGCAATCAAACCGCGGGTGTTTTCCACTCCTGACGACAAAACAAAAACTAATCGAAGCACCACCTGTGTGCTGAATCATAGTCTGGTATGTGTACATTCTAAGCATGGAGAGTTTATATCTACTGAAAAAGTCCTGCATTAGCACAGTAATATATGATAATGATAATAATAATATAACGATAAATATGAAGCTCTTTGGTTTGATGTCTGTGTGGAACCTCTGGTGTTGTGACCATGTAAAAGGACACGGAGGAAAGATTTGTATCCGTGACCAAAATGAGACGATTCAGCTCCTGAGGTGTGTGTGTGTGTGTGACAGTGTGTGTGTGACAATGTGTGTGTTGTGTGTGTGTGTGTGTGTGTGTGTGTGTGTGTGTGTGTGTGTGTGTGTGTGTGTGTGTGTGTGTGTGTTGAGACGGATGAGTGCTTGTGAATTGTTGGAATTTCAGGATTCAGTTTACTGTCCTGGCTGCGGTCATACACTCTGCTCCATCCTCATTATTTCCGCCCCTCCAAATAAAAAACATTCACAGGAGAAGCACAATGCAGCCACGGGAGCCCGCACAATATGAAATCAATATTTAACGAGAGAAGCTGCAGCAGGTAGTCTGAAAGAAGACGTTAGGTGTTGGGGATAAGGTTCGGAAAGTTATGGAGAAGGATTTAAAGGGTGCAAGGTGTTAGAAAAGGGAAGATGGAGGTCATAGAGTTGGTTATTGTTGGGTCAAATGTGAGATTTGGGCTCTGTTGTAACAAGCTGCAGAGTCACAGCTCAGTTCAAATCATTCCTGATACCTGCAGAAAATAAGGGCAACGCAACAAACTTCAGGTAACAAAATAAGGACATATATCATACTTAAATCCAATGACAAATTCATTATCAAACACTTTCAAGTAGGGATGCATTAATCAATTTTCAAGGTCACCAGACTACATTGATAAAGACAGTATTTTTACCTTTGGTTGGTTCGGAGTTGGACAAAAAACGTTAAAGTTGAGATGTATCAATGCAATTTATTCTCCTCTGATAATCTAATGTAATCCACCCCTGAAGACACTTTTCAAAGGGATGGTTCCTTTTTCAAGGCAACCAAACTCCATTGACAAAAACAGTAATTAATTCATTCAGATTAACCAAAGCCGAACAATAATATAAGATAAGAGGTACTTTATTGATCCCAAATAGGGAAATGCGTTGCAGCAGCATACAAAACAACAAAACAAATCATAAATGATTATTAAATTGTACAGTGTGTCCAGTTATCCAGAGAGAAGCTATGGAGTGCCAAAAAAACTAATTGATGCAGCAGTAAATCTGCAAGAGAAGTAAAATTACAACCAAACTCCATTGACAGAAACAGTAACTTGGTGAATGGTTAGTAACTGGTTGGTTAGATTCACTAAAGTTGCACAATAAAGCCATTCAAAATGACCCCCCTCGGCGGTTCTAGTGTTAAAAACAGAAATGTTGAATATAAAATGTTTTCTACCGAATTTGAATGTACATTTTTTATTTCATTTTTTATAGTATCAATATTTTTAGGAGTTATGCACGACTGATGCTTTTAAATTAACATTTCAAAAAAATCTCATGTCCCCCTGCAGTACTCCAAGGTACCCCTAGGGGTCTGCATACCCTCATTTGAGAACTGATACCCCTCCATCAGCACACTCTCACACACTGATCTGTCACAGAAAATGAAACACAATAACCCAGGGTCATAACACCCCCAACAAATGTGGTGTTGGGGTATGATTGCATTGGGTGATCCCGGACGAGCCCCCAATGTTAGGTTACCGTAGACCCGGGACGTAATCTAAATCACCATCTGCACACTCTCCCACACATATCTGTCTCAGAGAATGAAACACAGTAACCCATAACAACCCCCCCCCCCCCCAAAATGTGGTCTAGGAGTATGATAGCTTTGGGTGAGAGAGACCCGTGTTCTGATCCCGGACGAGTCCCCCAAAAAATGAATCAGAATCAAGGTTTTTTACACATACAAGGAATTTGCTTTGGTATCTGGTGGTGCGAACACAAACAATGTAAAAAAAATAGAAATATATAAGGATAATACAAAAAAAGTATTATTAAGAAATATTTTAGCATTAAAAAAGGATGCTAAAGACAAGTATTTACACCAGATTTAAATGTAACTATACAAATAACTTTAAAAGCTAAAAAACAAAAAGACTTAGGACAATGAGTATATACGGCAAACTACGGAGTATTATCTTATATTTTGAAGTGGAGTTGTTAGGTTTCCCTAGACGCGGGACATAACAGCAGTAAATCTGCAACTTGTTTTTTTAGAAAGTAAATTGATTGTTTATGTCAATGGAGTCTGGTGGCTTGAAGGAGAGCATTGCCATTTATCTACTCAGTTCTTAAATCATTCCTGATACCTGCTGTTGTTGGAAATAAGGGCAACGAATTTCAGGATCCCCCACACTCATTTTAAAATATTTTGATTAAAACACTCAAATGAATTTTCAAACACCGTTAAGTAGAGATGCTTTAATGCAACTTTTTCTCTTCTGAAAATCCCAAATATAAACCTCCCCTTCGGGCACATTTTGAAGAGATAGTTACATTTTCACCAGTGACCAGACTCCATTGACAACATGGAGAAAGAATCACCGTTACATTCAGTCACCAAAGTTGCACAATAACACAAACCAACTCCTTTGTTTTCATAAAATTACAGTTTTTTGTCGATGGAGTCTGGTGGCTTGGAAGAGAGTAGAGATCCTGATACAACCGGAAACACTACATTATACTGATGAAAAAACTGTCTTTAATGTGGAAAAGGTCACATCTTGCTTCCACACTGGATCCATTAAATGATCAGTTCGGATACTGCATCCCTATTTATATAATCCCCTGTATTCATTCATATAAAAAGATCCATAATACGCCCAAATCCCTGCGTGGATTACCGGGTATTTCATTAGTAAATTACAATAAACCTTCAGCGAACAATCATCCTCTGTTCATCTCCATCTCCTTCGTCCCACACCTTCCTAACCACCCACCCGTGTTGCCATGACAATCTACATCATCACCCTCACCATCCTCATCGTCACCATGGTTACTAAACAGTGTGTTGCTGTGGGACATGGGATAAACATTTTAAAAAGGTGCTGATGGAGTGAGCGGCAGCAGAGATCTGTGAAGAGGGACGGTTTGCATTTAAAGAGGCACTTCCATAGCGGTATACTACACTACCCATAATGCAACTCAAGAGAGGTGCAGAGATGTGGTATTTCTGTGTTGGAACCTGACGGCAACATCTCCCTGGTCCAATGGGATTTCTCTATGTGATTTTGGATTATTGCAAAAAAAAATCTCAATGATACTTACACATTCAGTTCAGCAGGATAATCTCCACATATTAACAACACTTTATGATTTCTGAAGTCAAAAAGCTAACGTTAGGCTATAAAGGAGATAGAGCACAGTCATATGACTTCATGTCACCACCGCTAAGCTAAAGGCGGCTAATGTTGGGCTATAAAGGAACTACAGCACGGTCACATGACTTCACGTCACCACCGCTAAGCTAAAGGTGGTTAATGTTGGGCTATAAAGGAACTACAGCACGGTCACATGACTTCACGTCACCACCGCTAAGATAAAGGTGGCTAATGTTGGGCTATAAAGGAACTACAGCACGGTCACATGACTTCACGTCCACACCGCTAAGCTAAAGGTGGCTAATGTTGGGCGTGATGACCTTTTGTCATCTCATTTAGACACTTGTTAGCAACGTCGTAGAACAAAACGTTAAAATCTCTTCAGCTTGTGTTAACCACAGACCTTACTTCAGGATAACAATCCAAACACACATTCAGAAAAAGCATCAAGGAGTGCTAAATTGCTGACTCATTACCCGGTTTTAGGACTCATTCCTGCACTTGTTTGTGACGCTCCCAATTACAGATGGTATCACTATGATATTTATGTGAAGTGCCTCTTTAAATTCCTCAAACTTGCCTCGGTCCTTAAAGAAAATCCAGGTTTCGCAGCAGCAGCCACACTCCCTATATGAAATGAATTCAGAGAATAGTTGTGGTATTTAAATTATGAAAAACATAGAGATTATATATATGGATATTTGCAACAAAAAAATATGAAATGTATTTATGATGTGTGTGTCATCCTGAAGAATATTTTTCAAAGTGAACAGATCTAATCTGAGTGTTTGCTTCTCCATGCTTAAGTGACTGAAGACTCATTGTAGGATACCATGATGGGATATTTCCAGGAAGCATTTGTGTTATTTTAATTATTATTTGATCTCTGCCTACATGTGTACGTGGGTGTGGCGATGTGTATAATACAAGCAATTCTTGTTGTTCTGTTTTATTATTTTGTATTATTTTAAATGCAATGTTTTTTCTTTGAAACATGTGCCTTGCGTTGTGATTTTGGTCTGACTACAGTACAGTGGATGGGTGTTTATAAAATATGAAGATCTCTCGCTATGTTTTTGCTTTGTTGGTTCATGGTCTAAAAAGAAAAGGTATGCTGCTCCTCGAAAATCACTATTTAGACGTGATATTTAACATAAAAACATGACATTGAAACAAACAACATCTCGCCTGTTATTAAAGGAAGCACATTTATGAAAATATGTTTTTAAAAAAAGATCATTATTATGAGAAAAATTCATGAAATATTGACATAGGCAATGACTATATATCTGGAAATAAAAAATGACTTAAGGCGCTTTCACACAAAGAACTTTTCCCAGGAATAGTTCCCGGAAATCTTTAGTCCCTGAACTTTCTAGAAGATCGCGTTCACACCGGAATAAGTCCCTGAGGGAGGATTACGCAAATGAAGCCGCTGACGTCACTTCTTCTTCTTCTTCTTCTTCTTCTTCTTCTGCTTTGGGTTTACTGGCAGGCCGCAAACAACTTCACGGCGTATACTGCCACCCGAAGTCCCCGGCCGGAAGTCCCCGGAGTTGGGGAAGGAGTAAATCGCCAGAACGCCGACACCTCCTCTTCTCCACCGCTCCCATGTTTTATTTTGTGTTGCCATAAGTTAGTCTCTCTGCGTTTGTGCGCTGGGCTAATGCTAATGCTAATAATGCTAATGTCAGCAAATAAAATGGCGGCTTCACAAAACTTTTCTGAGTTTTACGGGGCGTGGTTTGCAATCCGCCCAGCCAATCAGAAATTGGAACCCTTTTCTCCCCATGAAACTCCCTGCTCTCTAGCAGGGACTTTCATGGGGAGAAAATGTTTGCAAAAAAAAGTTCTCGTTCCAGATCTTTTTGGTGTGAACGCAACATCCCAAGAACTATCGGAACTATTCCTAGGAAAAGTACTCCGGTGTGAAAGCTCCTTTAGTATTACTTTAAAATGTACCCAAAGTGTATCTGGAAATAATGATTTAATATAGTTAAATAATGAAAGACATCGCAAAGACATTACTTGCTAAGGCAAAGTAATTACCTTGTTTTATCAAAAATGTCTCAAATAATGACATTTTCTGGAAATATTGACCTTATATTACAGAAATACTAATAATAATAATAATACATGGGATGTTTATAGCGCTTTTCTAAATGCTCAAAGATGCTTTACATAAAATCAGAACAGAAACAATAATGATTTAGGATCAGAAACAGTGACTAAGTATCCGGTAATAATGATTAAATATTTCATAAATGACTCACTAATCTGTAAAAATGTACTTAGTATTTCTAAAAATATCGACATAGTGTCAGGAAGAACGAAGTGTCTGAAAGTAATGACTTAATTTGCCAAAAATGACTTTTAAAACAAGATCAAATATACTTTATTAATCCTAAATTGGGAAATGTTTTCAATGCAGCAGCATGTTAAACAAGTATGTAATGGTTAGTATTAAGAAATATATACGATAAAATGACCAAAAGTATTTGGAAATAATGACACAATTTTCAAAACAATGACTTTCTTAACGCCAAATAACTAAGCGATGACCAAAAAAATACATATTGTTTGGAAATAATGACAAAGTATAGCAAAACAATGACTTCATCTCTAAATGGGTTTCTTATTATCTTGAGATATTAAGTTTTTTCTAAGTAATTTCTCATAATAATAACTTACTCTACCTTTTTGAATTGCATTGCCAGAAATGGTCTTCCATAGTTAACTCACAGTCAGTGCCACAAGATCTCCTCTCCTCTGATTGGACGATTAGAGATTTCATTATTCCAATAGCACATCTGATTTGGACCAGTTTTAATGCAGCAGATTTACTATAAACCTAGAGACAGCCGGTAAGATAAATACCAGGTAAATACTATGATAAATGTAGGTGTAATGTATATTTGAGTTTTCTTACATCTGTTCCTATCTGACTGACATTTCTCTAATTGATTTTAAACCACGTAAATCCACGACAACTTCCCCGGATCAGAGGTCAAAGGTCAGCTGTAGTTTCCTCCCTTTCCTCCAACAACACCTCTTTATAAAGTCATGTTTAACACTTCCTCTCCTTCCTCTGGTCTCATTTTGGTCGTCTCTCTCGTTGTAGGAGTTTCCTGAAGAACGTTAAAAAGGTGGAATGGTTGTGGTGTGTGTGTGTGTGTGTGTGTGTGTGTGTGTGTGTGTGTGTGTGTGTGTGTGTGTGTAGTGACTGCATCTGCTCTGAATAAATAAATGTTCGACACACACTGCTTCCTGTGTACTTCACTCTTCCTCCTGCAGGGGGCAGCACCACACTGCAATAAATCATCAGTTCATTTTTCTATTTAAAAGTACAAAATATACTTAAAGTACCAAAAGTCAAAGCACTTCTACAATGTGTACTTTCCCATTTCAGAATCATGCTGGATTATGAATATCGAAACTGATGATAGATATAATAATAATTCATGGTATTTATGTTTGTGCTTTACATTAGATATATCAGACATGTCACATCTGGAGGTATTTAGGAGGAAGTGCCTTGCCCAAGGACACAATATATTACCATATACTACTTTAATCTCAGAATATCCATCTCGTTTTCATTTAAATTCAAGACTTTAAAATTTGTTATTTTTATTAAAGGTCCCATGTCATG